TTTTTATATATTTATATATGAAGAGAGAGATATAAGTATTTTATTACAAGGAACACTTACCCGCAAGTACAAAGCTCGCAAATGCACTGTTCTTTTAGAGGGATTTTCGACAATATATCCGGTACCAGCACTGATTTAGGATAGACTACATCCTCTTCGAGAGAGTCTGGACTTTGATCTCCTCTTTTAGGTATGTCCTGTTCCAATTTCTTCGGTTTCTCAGCAAATCGACTAGGTTTAGGTTTCGAAGGTTCAGGTTCTTTATCGGATTTTCTAAATGCTGTAGGTTTTTCTTCGGGTCGACTCGGCTTGCCGGCCGCTGGCTGTGGTCTTCTAGTCGGCGACGTATGATCCCGAAGCTTTTCAGGTGACTTTGGCCGGATCTCGGAAGGTCTACGAAATCAATATCGACAAGTAATAAGTATAAACTGTCGCCTTTTTATTTTTTTCTTACTTCTTTAGACATATTTAAAGGAATTAGAGCAGTTTAAAGACAAAAGAAGAAACAGTGTTTTCATTTACCTGCCATCTACTGGCCGCTGAGGACTTCTTTCGCGCTGCGGAGGTCGGCTGGGCTTTCCAGCAACTGGAGTTGGTTTTGGTCGATCGTCTTCCCTGAGACCAGGTATTCCACGAGGATAACCGGGCCGTTCAGGCGATGGTTTCCTCGTGGAATCCGTTGGTGACCGGGGTGCCGGGCCGGTGATGGTATCGAATCGAGTGTCGATGACATCCCGCGCTACCATGCTAGTCACCTGCTCTTTATCGATAAATTCCTTCGTTGACTCGGTAACATCTCTCTAAAAAAAAATACGACAAAAATATTCTTTAAGTATTTCTTAGATTTGGCTAAATGACAGTAATATTAGTAGATATAAAGCAGAATAATTTGTCAATTAATACGGTCAATGCTTTCAATTATCACTTTGCTAATGGTTGATCATGTTTTCACGTACAGTGTAAAACTATACTGTTAATTATTACGTATACCGTAATGTCGAGTATTATCACGTTTTTATAAATTGATACGTAGAATTTTACAGCTGCAACATTAGTGCTGTATAGGTAACGCATTGATTATACTATAATAAAGTACTTGCATTGATATGGCATATATATAAACTGTTAGGAAATGTCAAACATAAACTACCAGTTATGACTGTCCCACCACTCGCAAAACTTTACAACTACTTTGCTCGTAACAAATGACGACTGCAGCATTATGTCAATTTACTCAATGTCATAACAATTATTAATAAAAATAATGATTTGTGATATTCAATTGACATGCTAATTATATACAGTAAACGCCTTGGTACACACATTGGTAAAGACTTCGAGGCGTAATAACGACATAAATGCGGCTTCGTTTTTCCGCGAGCGTTCATTACGAGTTTCAAACGTGCTGCATAATGAGCGCCGCGAGCATGAACGAGATTAGGAACGCCGGTAATGCTTAGTTCGACAGAATGCAGGTAACACGAGATTGGTGTATACGGCTTTTATGTGCACGCTTACAGAGTATCGTGTAACGTGTCGAACCGTACTTTTGCGATTTAGTTTGTTTCGTTACCGACATTGCTGTCATTTCCAGAAATAGATTATATTCGTACTATCGATAATGTAAATGATTTGTACAAAGAATTTTTTTTTGTTTTATAAATGTATATTTTAAAAGATTTACAGATTTTGTATTTTTTATTAAAATGTGTGTAGGGAATCTCAAAATCTTTTTTCTTAAAATTCTCGAATTTTATAAACAATTGTAATCTTTTAATAGTTAAGTATTGATTAATATATATATAAAACACAGATAACGATTAACATTTCTAGTTATTAAGAGGAATTTTACATCTAATAATAATTTTCGTAAATTTTATATTTCACCTTTATATTTTTTAACATAAAGGTGTGCAGATTACTATTCATTTTTTAAGTGCAGTTTTATGCCATAACTGTGTGGAAACATAATATCACACTATTAAAGTGATAATAATTTAATGAAACTAATATTAATAAGTATCTTATAAATCCATGATAAATTTACTATGAAAAATATTGTTTCATTTGGGAAATTTTGATATTTTACTTATACTTGTGATGAAATTCCACGTTACATTGTGTTCATTAAAAATGTCACGTGTCTATTTTTTTTTTTCAATTTGTTGTAACTGCTCATTATTATCATTCATAGGCACGCTTGCTTTTTAATTTGACTCTACAACGAAGCAAATAACGTCTGCTGATATTATTAGTCAAATCCTTTACTGTTTTTAACGCTCGAATGTAATTCGCATAAAGCACATCAGATGAAGTTTTGGCATTTAATTAGCGAGTTAAGTAGCTTGAATCTTAAGCTGATTGCCCCTCCTCTGACGATATCGAGAGTTGCTCATAATGAAGCTCGTTTACATAATTTAGATTTTACTTGTTTTCCTGATGAGTTTAATTTTGTCTGTTTAGAAATTTCACGTTAAAAACGATCCCCTCTGTGTTGCTGTTTCGTAGTAACTACAAGTTTAATAAAAATTTCCGCGTTAAAAGAATTTTGATGAACGTGATTAAGTGCTGTTAATAAAATCATCATAATCACATTTATCGATGCCGTAATGTGTGACATGACGAGATACATATTGCACGCGCCTTCATAAAATAATAATACCGAATCGCGCCGGGAAAACGCGATCACGCGTGTACGTTGTACGTATCGTTATATCTCGATCCAAATAGGCCATCTCCATATATAGTTGTTTGCATGTTGAACAATCGAAAACAACGGAGGGTGTCTGTAATGTAGCATCAAGATAAATTGTTTTAAATATAGGGACGTAAATTACAATCGTAACATACAAATAGATTTCACAGAAATCGTTTTTTCTATCTACGATGGAGAGAAGATATTTGTTGGATATTCATTTACAGAGTGATAAATGAAGTAACGCAAAAAGCACGTGTGCGAACTTACTAAAGCATTTTATCGATCATCTCGAGAGACCTCGGAGTAAAGTCACGGCTGTGAGAATTAAATCGAGCTGCTTTAAAGAAACGGACTGTCCGTATGGTGCGGAATAAGTTACGAATGTTTATTTTTAATTCGTTCAACCGGTGTAAACTTGTAAACGTGAGAACATATTGCAAATTACCAACGTAGTCCTTGTGAATTATCCTTGTGAGCAAAGCAGTGAATATTCAGACTACAGCGTTAGATAACGTAAACTTCGAAGTACCGATCCGATTTGTGAGATGCTACGCGGAGATAAAGTTTCAAATTGTCCCGAGCATCTTCAGTTAAGAAATTCACTGCTGTTAACAGTGAAAAGTATGCTCGCTGAATTTTCAATAAGCAGCATGTGCAAAAAATAAGATTTTATCAGACATGAAACAAAATTGAAATTAATGTAATCGTAAGAAAACTAAAACGCAGAAAGAATAAAATTGAAAAAAAAAAAGACAATTTTACAAATTAGAAAAAAATTGGACGCAATCATTTTGAATAAAAGTGAAGTGTTATTTCTATTAGAAACTAATTCTGAAAATTGAAATTCTAAATTTCAAATTTTCAGAAACACTACCGTTTTATCGCTGTAGCAATAAAATCCAGAGTATCATCTGTGGCATTTTTCTTTCTGTTTGATATCGATATACCATATTTCTATGAAAACATGTGACTTTTCAGCCACAGAGTGACTCGGTCGCAGTGTAAAACCCGTTGATACCATGCGCGATTTTGTTTTTACTGATTAAATCAATATTGAGCTCTATAGGATATGTTGCAATATACAGTGGATATACAAGGTATTATTGTAAAACGATACACCTGTATGTCACTCTCTCTGTTGTACTATTATTATTTTATTTAATGTTATCGGTCGTTGCTATCGATACTGTAACCAGCGATGAGTGACGTCAATGTACACGTGTCTCTCAGCGTGGCATCTCTTAACTAAGATTTCTATAGCACTTGAACGAGGCGACCGCATGATAAGCGAAGCGGAACGCGCGTGAAATTCAATTGGTCATACATTAAGCGAGTTACATTGAGCGGTGACATCACTGCCAAATTTGCTTACATTGCATGCAATTATTATCATTCTGCATATGCTCGATTTAGCCTAATTGCAAGTGATTACCCTTACATGTCTGAGAAGGATGCAATTTCAAGGATTTTTTCATGGAAATGCAAATAATCATAATAATTAATTTTCATATACAGACTTTTGTTATAAATAATTTTGTTATAAATATAATATAAATAATATAACAATAATTAAATTTACATTTTTCCATAATAATAATGATATTTGACGTGATATTTTAAGATATCACGTCAAATATCATTATTATTATGGCTTGAAAATTATATGGTTTGGAAATTAAAATAGAAAAAAAAGATTTGTCTTTAATTCACTTTGAACTGTACAATGATCGTCTTAATATACATACATTTATCTCTCTCAAAGATAACTCGCCTATTTACATGTCGAAGTTCACTTTTTAATCGAAAACGGAGAGGTTATCGAATTGTTCTCATGTCAATGATGATAATATATTAAAAATATTAAGATACGTCTCATATATTTCTGTACTATGCAATAACATATTGACGATTTAAAGCGATCACAATACAACGATTGAGGTACTGTATGTCGGGCAAAATGTCGGGCAAATGTTTCCCATGTGAAATATCGATTTCCCGTTCGATTCCCCTATTCGCTTTGCAATAGTTCGATGAATCGGGATTCAGTCGTCCAGAAATTCGTATATATTAGAAATACGATATATGTACATATTCTGTCTGTTTCAAACAAAGGATTCAACAAAACGAATTCTCTTTTCTCTTCTGCCTCTTAACCCTTCCCATCTTTCTACGAATCGCCATATTACGTCAGGTTTATTTTCAACGCGGCGCCACACATATGAACCTGCAACCTTCGCTCGGAAGTGAAAGTATCGTTCGAACCTCTTCCGAAAGAACTGAGCTCAAAGTGTCTCGATAAGATCTTTATAAATCTGCCTACTAACATATGGTCATTATCAACTATCGAAAAGTTAATGTATTGAGAATTCGAGTGCATCGAAAATAGAAGATTTTCAAAGTTTGCAGTATTTGACTTAAATTCTTATAGAAATAAATGTTGACAACAGAGATATGGTACAAATATTATCCTGGAAAACTAAATGAGTCGTAGTTTTAGCAATTACCTGTGGAAGCAGCTAATGAAGAAACATTTTAACGTCTTGCAATTACTCACCACATCCTTGCGCGTGTCCGTCGTAAATTCAGTGATGACACGCTCGTCCTTAACATCGCGCACGTCTTGCACAGAAGTGAATCTCGAAGACTGATCGATTACATAAGATTGCTGAAGCACTTCGGATGTACGCGTGATATCCGCATGTGTGATATCCGCGACATCTTCGACGTGTCTGATCTCGGTGACGTCCTTCTGGGTCTCCGTCGATTTTCGCGAAATCGGAGTAGGCAACGTTTTTCCTTTCTGATCCACTGGTTCGCTTTCTTTCTCAATCGGTTTTCGTTCGTCCCCCGGACGTTTCTTCGGCACTTCAGTTGGTTCATCACGTGTTGGTTTCTTTCGCGTGTCCTGCGGTTTTTCGTGCACGAAAGAACCGTCCCAAGTGGAGGCGCCAGGTTTCGACGGTCGGTGCGTTCTGTCTATCGGACTTTTCTGCGGCTTTTCGTCGGGGGATTCTTTTGACATCTCGTAATCGATCGAATGTACTTTATCCTTCGGACTCTCTTTTATATAAATTTTCGATATATTTGACGAGTCATAAGTCTTTGAATCGGTGACGTACGTTTGCTCGACCGTGACGGAGCTAGTGGAATAATCGGCAGAACTTGACACATCCTTCGATGTATTCAGTATCGTAACAGATGTTCCATGATCGGCGATGTCACTCGGTTTGTCTTTGATTGGGCTTCGCTTATCTTCAGTTTTCATATCTTTTGGCCTCTTCTCTTCCGGTTTCTCGTACACGAACGATCCATCCCAGGTGGAGGCGCCTGGCTTCGACGGTCGTTGCGTTCTATCCACCGGACTCTGCGGTTTTTTATGTTTAGGCTCTTCAGTGTCTTTCGGAGGTCTTTGTCGAGGCGATGGCTCAGGTTTTTCGACGAACAGCTGTCTTGGCTTCTTATCGGCTTCGCGCACTTTATCCTCTGCGCTTCTTTCTCCGATGAAAATTTTGGATATATTTGAAGAATCGTATGTCTCCGAATCCGCGATGAATGTTTGCTCGACCGTGACGGAGCTCGTAGAATAATCGGTAGCGCTTCTTACATCTTTTGACGTATCCAAAATTGTAACTGTTTGATGATCAACATTATCGGTCCGTGGTTCTTTAATTGGACTCTGTTTAGTCGCAGCTCCATGTACATCTTTCGGTGACTTTTTATCACTCGGTTTCCTTTCCTCTGGTTTCTCATACACAAACGATCCGTCCCATGTGGACGATCCCGGTTTCAGAGGTCGGTAACTTCTATCGTCCGCGCGAGATTCCTTCTTCTCGCTTTTAACAGTGGTCTCTTTAATGTCGGTAGTAGTTATTACGTCACTGCTACAGGGCAGCCTCTTTGCACCACCGTGAGGACTTTCTTGAATGGTTACTGTTTTTTGCGTCGTTATTGGCTGACCGTCGCGAATAGTAACAGTCTCGACGGAAGTCGTCGACAAATCAAGATTCGAGGAGTCCGTGTAACTTTCGTGCATTCTTGATTGTTCCGTAACGACGGAACTTTCCATAATCTCTGACGTACTCGATACATCTTGCCTGACATCTCGGAGATCGATAGTAGTCTCGCTAACATATTTCCTCGATGTATCAACACAGGGTGTCCTTTTGCTGTCTGCTGGACGAGATTTATCTGGTAGCCTATCAATGGATTCTCTGCTAGGTGGTCGCTTCTTCTCCTGCGATTTCTCCAATACGAAAGTTCCGTCCCACGTCGACGATCCGGGTTTGGTACTTCGTAGATCTCTATCTTTCGGTATCTTCTCCGGACTTCCAGGTCGTGGAGAGGGACTAGTCCGACGTTCCGTCGTCGAAACTTCGCTCCGTGACGTATCTCCATCAAATCTAATCGTCGTTTCGACAGGGCGCCCCTCGTAAACGACTGTCTCGTACCTCGTGGAGGTACTGACACTGGCATCCCTGATATCTGAGAAACTCTGCTGACTCGATGAATGCTCAACGATGTAAGAAGTACTCGTAACGTCCGCTTCGTTAATCGAATTATCTTCCGTAACATCTCGAATATCGATGGTTTTCACCGTACGTTTATCTTCCGGTCTTCGGCGACTATCAGGTGTTACCGGTCGTTCGTAGACGAAGGTGCCGTCCCAAGCGGATTGACCGGGCTTGTAGCAGCGCGAGGTTGTGTCAAATTTCGTCTGCCTCTCCGGACTTCCATGGCCGCGCGTAATTTTAATCTCAGGACTATCCTCCTCTAAGATTACCTCGGACACCGACGTGACCTTCTCGACGTTCTTCTTGTCCTCTCTCTCGCCGGAAATCGCGTATTCGACGATGTAAGACGTGGAGACCGATTCAGTAACGTTCGAAATGTTCTGCTCTTCGCTGACATCTTGAACGTCCACGGTATCGTGACGTTTTTCCGTCGTACGGACAACGGTGACGTCTGAAGGATGCTTCTTCACGTCATCTTGCTTCGACTTTCCGTAGATAGATTCGCCGGGTCTGCCGAATAGTCTTCGTCGCGATGGACTGGATACGCGAGCTGGGTGTTCATCCTTACTCAACGGCGTGCCATCGGCATGGATCGAAGTTTCTCTGCTTACATCTCGTCGTTCTTCAGAAATGAATCTGGTGCTGTCCGCAAGGCTAGCACCTTTTACGACGCGCGTAGTCTCGGATGACTCCTTCTCGTATGTACCGTCCGTACTCTTTCCTTTGAAATCTCTTCTCTGCGTAGTTTCCACGACGTTGTCACCGCGACCGTGAAACACGTTGACGTCGGAGTCGTTAAGCTGACTTTTTCGCTGCTTCGTAATTTTTCCCACGACGAAGCTTCCGTCCCACGTCGAATCGCCAGGTCTCGAATAACGGGTCGGCCCTTTCGAATATTTGTCGCCGGCGAAATCTGTCGTGTCTGCGGCGGTTTTCTCCGACGTGACGTCACGAAGATAAGTCATCGTTCGTTGACCTTCGTCGACTATCGTTTTCGAGTCTCGAGTCACGCTTGAACTCGAAGATACGTTCTGATCGATAAACGATACCTCCTGGGTCGAGGTCTCTTGAGTGACTTTAACGCTTGTTTCATTATCTCTGGTATCGCTGTGAATCTTCGAACTTACTGATTTATCAACGACATTTTTGTCCTTGGGAGTGGCGGGTTTTTCATAGACAAAGGTGCCATCCCAGGTGGATTGGCCGGGTTTATTACAACGTGTTGATATCTCGATGTTTGATCTCTCTGATTTCAAATCGCTGCGCGTACTTTTATCGCCACTCCTCTTGATATCATCAGTATTTTTAATGACGGTCACATTGGAAGGTGTGATTGTACGTTCGCTGTCTACTTCTCGGCTTGATGTAGACATCGTCTTGCCGTTTTCATTGATTCTTTCTCCCGTTTCGCGTATTCTCGTGGTGCTCGACGTTGTTTGACCGTCTTTCGTTACGGCCTCGCTCGTCTCGCTACTCACGTGAGTACTCTCGGTCGACCTTGACGATGTCTGAGATATGGGAACGTGAGCTCCATTTTTAACGTCGTGAGAAACTACAGCGGTAGAGCGATGTCCGCTACGATCCTCGCTCGCTGATGAACTCTCAATTAGGACGCTCGAGGAGCTCGACTGCTGAACCGTTGAATGGGACGCGCTTTGACTTTGCGTCTGCACAGATTGACTGGCCCGTTCGGTCGTTTCTCCTTGAATTGTCCGACTTTCCGAAGGAGACGTCGCGTGCTCGCGTGGAATCTCGTGCGTCGTCTTCGCTTGCTTAATCGATTGCATCTGCTCCCCCGCTATGAGGTCTTGAGAGCTTTTGCCGGTTCTTCGGCTGGACGAGCTCTGCTGGATAGTCTGTGGAGGTGTCTCGATAACTTTGATAACGTTACCTTTGGAATCCATGATGACCTCGCGACTGGCACTCGTGACCTCCACCGTGCTACTTCTAGATTCGCTCTCCTTCACCTGGCTCGATTCCTCCACGACGCTGGTGGAGGATACAACCTCGACTGTCTCCGTTGTCGTCACGTCCGAGGACGTCGACGTTGTCGCGACTTCGTTTTTCGCGGCTCCCGCATTCTTCGTCCTTGACACCGTACCTTTTTTGTGAATAGTCATTGCTACCTGTTTTCGGTCGCTTCTACAGCTCGATTACTCGGCACTTGAAGCGTAACTTCACACAAACGCGAGAGAGACTCGCGCGTGATTGTTGTAAAATACGATAAAAGCCGAGGATGTTTTTAAAACGCACACTCACCGCCGAATATAATTAATTTGTCAATCACTGCGACTTTGCCCCCGATTTTATAAATTTCAAATATAAAAAAGTTCTCTTTTATCGCTGGCGCACAACCGTTTATCATCGGCACTCGGTTTTAACTACATCATACAATTATATCGCTCGCTCGCACGCGCTCGCGCCACTCTTCGAACTGAAGCTCGGCTGTGACCGGCCTCGTTTACAAACTCGTTTCTTCTGTATGATCCTCGGAACTTTCTCGCCCGCGTCAGATATATGCACGAGCTTCGCGCGTGCTTCTTCTCGCTCGCACGTAAATTCCAAAGCTCTATCTTTCTCCTCCGTACGAGTTCATTCGGGACTAATGCCGGCTTCAAAAAATGTGTGATTGCGAGAGAGATGTGAACCGATGTTCTCAGTCCGATATCGCGAGTCGATGTGGCATCGGCGGTTACTCGCCGCTGCTGGTCTAAGTGACCACACGGTTCTCCACCGTTTCCTCTCCGTTCCTCTCTCTCTCTCTCTCTCTCTCTCTCGTCACTGACACTGACATACACCAACCATGGATCTTTTATGCCTGGAGAACCTACCGCGGTATCCCTACTTTCCGCGACGTGACGGAGCCTCTGTACATTCGTCGGTACGCGTCCCATTCGTTCGGCGTGGGACGTAGCCACCCATCCTCGTGTGTCCCACACGCTCGTGGCGTGGGACGTACCTATTCGCGTATTGTTGTACGACCGGCAACGCGTGAGTTAGAACGCGTGACCCGTGAACGGGCGCGTATATGCGCATGTACGTCACGCCGCTACCGTCTCGACCAGGTGTATTATGTTATTACGATATATTGCCAGATTAGAGTACGTCTTTCTTCCTCTTACGGCTTATCTGCGAATTCTCTTTATCGCGCACATATTTGCACGGCGATAGCGCACGCCGTTTATATGTCAATGTCGAATTGTAACAACAAATTCCGACACTCGTACGACGCCGAAAAGTAAATACGGATAATACTTCAGTATTAAAAGTTTTTTGTTTTTTTGTATTTTGCGTGAAACGTTCTTTGATATTTAATACTCTCGGATATGGCTCATACACGTAAATATGAATGTTTCAATCAATTTTTCACGCGAAGCGTGATGAAGCAAAATAATATATCGCTGTTACTTTTTCTATTACTTTCCATTGCGCGCAATGAGCATTACTCAGTGGTATTTAACGTTACATTAACTCGTGAATGTAGCCGCGCTTCGCGCACGTGTGCGCGTATACGCATCGACGTACGCGTTACGTAACACATACGTAAACGCAGGATGTAGTCTTTTTCTCTTTCCTGTATTAGTGTACGTGCGTACACCTGTTGATCTCTTATATTATGCGAATAAAATTCCAAACTAGATTCCAACCTGGATGGACTTGTGCAAAATGTAATTTTGCGTTTTTACGCATATTCAACATACAGTTGAAGTTTACTACGATCATTTTTTTATTATGATATTATATGTTTTTTTTTTTGTTAGAGATCCAAACACATGACAACGAATGAAAAACGGAAATAATAAAATAAAATAATTAATAGCAATCCGTATACTATATCGAACTACATCGTTGCACACAACAAAAGCATAAAAAAAAAAATACAAGAGAACAATTCATAAAAGACGAGGAAGTCCTACAAGGGTGTATCCTACGCGCAAATCGAAAGTTTCATCTTGATACTTATTTCTATAAAAGTTTCGCACAATGATTCATACATAACGACACGCAGTTCTTTCTTTCAACATTTTGCGGCGAGAAAAATTGCGGACCGTGAGCACCGCGAACGCGACAGAGAAATCGGTGGGGGCACCTTCGCAGAACCGGTCCATCGTGATGCCACGGCGTAAACCGAGCGATGACGTAGACTGCAAAACTACGACGATCGTAGCCAATGTTTCCTGCCGGACGGACAAGTGTCACCAATGTCCATTATTTATTGTTATTAGGAACATGATTGAGATAACAGTTAGTTATTTCAATGAGATGTTCTTGACAAGTCATTGATTGTTAAAGAGGTAATCATTTTGCTGATAAACTAATTCGCTTTGTGAGGAATAGATAGATTCTTTCTCGATTCAAATAATAAACTTGTTAAAAATAATTATTATAAATTATTTTGTTTTTTACCGATCGCAATAATAAACGTATAAAAACAATATTTATAATTTATTTAACAATAAACGTGAAAAGTAAAGAACTTGATATACAAAATTTAATTACTCCATTTCTTTATATAATTATAATTTGTATGGATATGTAACAGTATATGATTACGATCTGTGATAAGATCTCCGACTAGAGAATGCTAAGCATTTTTTTATTGTTGAGTATTATCGATACATTGATTCAGGATGAAACGGATGATAATACGGCAATCATTGTTGAAATTATAAACCAATTATGAATCAATTGTACATCCAATTGTACATTAAATGAAAAAAAAAAATGTTTTATACACTAAACAAAAAAATAAATAAAAAAATATGCTGCGAGCAGAAACATTTAAGCTAATTTATGCTTGTGCAATATTCATTTCCTGCTGTATTACGTATGTCTTTGGAAATAAATCGAGTAAATAATTTTTGTATTTGATTGAAATATTAACACTTACTTCGAGATGTAAAGTACATTCGTGGGCGTTAACGATGCGAAGTGTATGTCTCATTCGTTAAAAAAAAGTGTTTACGTACACTTACATCTAAAATATCATAAAGATGTTTATTAACTTTAATGAACGTTTGTTCTTTATGGTATGTATGTAATAAAACGCGTTATTATATGGAAGATACTATTGTTATTATAGACCCAGTCAGGGTTGATACTATACATGACAAATAGCGTCGGGATCTATTCTATACTACATGAAGAGATGCAGACGACCGTAATAATTGAATTGAAGTATAAATTAACTTAATAAATAAATTATGCTAACTTTCTTACTAACTTCACCTAACGGTAATCATAAGTTAACCGGTTCCTCGTGTCTATTTGCGTTTTAGCCGTTATCTAAAAGTCAAAGTCAAACGAGTATCTAAAATAATTCTGCATCTTTCTCTATATTCGAAAAAACACGAAACTGTACTGACCAATAAACATCAGAGCGTAAGTCGAATGCAATAGAAGAGTAACAGAAGTAACGAAACTTCTAGGAGGCGAAAATTGAAACATCAAAATGTAAAAAAGGCGCAAATGATAATTCTTTTACATTTCATTGTTCCAATTTTAGAAGTTTCGTTTACGTTTCTTTTCCTCTTCTATTACATCCGATTTACGCTCTGACGTTTCTCTTCATCCGGGAAGTAACAAGAATTTTATTTTTTTATTTTGATATACATAAAAATTTTCTAAATTCTATTATTCGATAACTATCACGAGCGATACTATCGCGCAGCGCATCCGTGGACCAATTTACTTAAAGAGCGAAAGCACCACGCCCGTCTGCTCATATTTCCCGTAAAAAGCGACGGCGGGTCACGGCGTGGGTAGAAAACCAGACAGCGTGCGGCTTCTCGGGTTCGACTTCAATACGCCGTATTTGGCGAATGCGTCGAAATCTGTAGGCGAACCGGTAACCGATTGAACGCGTCATCCGTGTACTCCGAACGAATGTTTCTGTACGTGTCATTTGAGCTGGCGCTATAAACGTTATACTGTTATTATTATCTTTTTTTTTTTCATATTTTTTAAGATAATGAAACTTTCGTCGACCTTCGTCTCGCTAATTTATTAAAAAATTAATTGTATACAAGAGTAGTAAATGTACTTAATCTTTACAGGACGGGAAAGCCATTATAGTGGCGTTGAAATAGTGTCATATTTTGTGACAAGAAATAACGAATTATAACAAATTTTACTTAGGAAAAGCTATAAGGTTTTAAAAATAGATCCCCTCTAAAGATTAAACATGGATTAACATTGCTTTAAATTTTTTACGCAATCAAATTTGCAAATCAAAACCGTAGCGCTTCATCACCTTACAGTTTAGTGGCACAGGATGCCTTAAAACCATTTCTGATCCTTTGCAAATTATTCTTAACCTTTCTGGGACCGCACGGAGTTGTGCACGCATATATGATGAGTGATTATTCATTCTTTGTATAGCCTGAAGACACGTATTAGTCCGTTTACGTTTTTCCATCGAGAAGGACGCGATCGAATTCCAAATAGTGGCTCGCGGCAGAGCACCTTAACCGGCGAGTGATTTCGCGAGATATCGGCTCGCGGGTTGCGTGCTCCGCGTATCGAAATCGCGCATTTCGCAAAACGAGACGAACCGTGGCGGATGCTTATGGTTAACGGGGCTAATTTTATGCAGGTTAAAAAAAAAGAAAAAAAGTCGATCGCTCTTCGCAAATCAGTTTGGCACGGTCTTTCTCTCGGGGGAGAATTGAAAGCATGCCCAAGTTGAGAGAAGAGGCCACCTCCGTAATGGATAGCGCCATAATGAAGTACGGTACGGCGGACTCTCTCATTAATTAACGTTAAAAGGGAAACTTTTGTAATTGCGCTCCTAAGACGAAGCGATGCAGCCTGACCTCCTCGCTGACGCGTCGTTACGTCGACGTCAGAGAGAACTAGACGGCGCGTCTTGAAAAGTGAAGTCTTTCTAGTGATTAGGGGTGCTGTCGAATTTCTTATATTATAGTCTCTAAATCCTTTTACAAGTGTTAATAATAACTTACGCTATATTCCGGGAGCACAATTTTCGGAATATTAACTTTAATTAATGCAAAACTAAACGGGGACTACATGCAAATACGATACTCTATTTGTGATTTATAGCATTTATAGTTTATCGGATATTTATCTTTAGTTCCTTTCGTGATTCAGACACAGGCTTTAAACGTTAAAGTTCACGTTTGCTTGTAATGTCTAAATGAAACGACCGGATCATTAAATAATAACGCGAGTTTTATAGGCACCATGAAGTCATCGGTCGTGAAACTATACGTCGTTATTTATGCGCACGTGTAATCACGCTATACAGTCACAATGGATGTACTGTTCTGGTGCATTATGAATCTGTCTCGCGAAATCCTTCAGATCGGTTTTTTTTTTTTTTTTTTTTTTCGGCCGATGTACTTTATAAGTACCTACGTGTGATTTGGCCTTTCTTTCAAGGGCGAGCTGCAAGCGTCAGGAAGGTAATAAAAAGATTCTACGGTACCTTTTTATACCAATTCAAAACGCTCGCGTTCATCGCCGAGCCTTCCCTCCCAAGGATTACCTACAGGCATTCAAGTACGAAGTTTTCATTACGTCCTGATGCGTAGACATGCGCTCCAAAAGCGGTCATACGAATTTCGCGTCGTGGTCGACCGGGCAGGGATAAGCCACGAATGTGCAGCATTTGCAGCCTATGATGTCACGGGCCGTTTCATTCCTCTATCGGACGTCGAGAGTCTCTGCAGGGAATTCTTAATACAGTGGTAAATATCTGAGAGTAACTCCGAGCCAAAGCGTTTCAAGATCTCGCGTGCGCTTGTACAACGAGAGCGTGCCCCGTCACATATATACGACCGTGACACTAAAACAGTGGTTCTCGACTTTATGTTCCCCTATCATTACGCTCTTATTATCTGTATAATCTAAATTTCTTTTCTGATTTGCAAATTTCAGGAATTCGTTTTTTCAGAGCTTACATAAAAGTTATCCCAGGAAAAAGAGAGGAGAGAGAGAGAGAGAGAGAGAGAAAAACATGTTTTTCAGTCTCTATACCATACATCAGAAAAATATATATCTCTGAATTTTAATCAAGTCAATTCAATTACGAAAAAAAACCGTAGAATAGGCTTTACCTTGATAAACAAGTAAACTTCGGCAACGCGAGCAAATTTCTCGGCCGTTCTGCGGCGTGCAAAGGGTGAAAGCGCACCCACCTCAAACGTGATTAGAATCTTGGTACTAATCCCGGTACAAATTGAATCATAGCCACCGATGCGCGTCGCTCGCCGTGACAGCCGATACAGAGAAATGCAATTTCGGATGGCACGCACGTATAAGGCGTGACCACGCGACACGGAAAATTGACACGATTATCGATAACCGCGTGTATACGATGCACCGAATGCATCTATCTCCCGTACGCCGCAGGCATGCACCCGGTGAACGCTTAGAGTCCGTGTTGTGTTTAAACTGCCTTTAGGGACCAATACGTGATCGATACACCGCTTTGTAATCACGTGCATGCCGCTTGCATGGTGTAACGTCATCAATTAATTAATATTTGCAATATTCAGTAAATCCAACCGATCTTTGGACAATAGAATGTGGTCGGTAATTACGCGCGTGTGTGTGTGTGTGTTTGTGTGTGTGTGTGTGTGTAGCACAGGATAAATTAGAAAAAACCGTTTTTTCAAACAGAAAAATAAGCTGAAATCTTAATGAAACTAAAAAAAAAAAAAAAATGTTAATTTCTTTGTAATATGCGTTTTATGAAAAAGTTAATATATTTTTTAAACGGGCCTGAATTTACAAAAACCCTGTGTTACTATTGTCCGTTTTGAATATAAAATAAACAAGCTGTTTTATAATTTGTGTCATCAATATTCATCAGAATTTTATGAAAAACACGAGTTAAAAGTGACTTAATTAACTGACCGCGCATCGAACTGTTTTTTTATCATTCAAAATTTCTCTCATAAGATGCGCATCTTTGGAGTAACACAGATGCACGTATATGTTCGCATGTCGGTGTGCAATCTACATGTCCTAGATGTGGTTACCACGGCTAGTATTGACGAAACAATGAAGAGATTTGTCTAAATGTTCGCATTAATGTTGTCATTGCAAATTAACAACGGAATTCACGCTCATAATGAACATACCTATACATACACTGAGAGAAAAGTATATCGTATTTGTGACTATATAATTGCATGGTAAAATAATTATGATTAGGAGCATCATTTTTATAGTTATTATTACCATAATGTTATATATAGTAACAATAACTTTATATGTATAGTTACATTATTGTAGTACAATTTACTATATGCAAATATGATTTATGTGTAAGATAATCATACAATTAGTTCAGGTTATTATAATTTATCTGGTCAAAACAATGATAAATTTACGGTCGTTCCAAAAGTAGCTATAAATTATAATTAAATTGTGGTTATTCCAACCATTTTTTTCTCTCAGTGTATAATTTATGATTTTAAATCATAATCATATTACACAATATTACACGGTACAGGAAAGATTGTGCGGTAAAGCTTTATAAAATAAAACGATAAATATTCCTGCATCCATAGGAATGTTAATTAATTGCGCAATAGTCCCATGAAATGTGAAGATTTTAAATTAGAGAATGCGAAGACTTTTAACTAAGGAACTTTTCTACATATACTCTGTTCAAATGCACCGTTCGTGAGAAAATTTCATTACGTCTAAAGCTCCGGAAAGTAGACAAACATTGATACACTGTTGACGAACACGTTACGGTATTACGGGCGCTAGAAAATATGTCAACTAAAAAACACGTTGTTAATTTAAGGAGTTATTTTAATATGAAAATAATATGTAAATAATGTAAATATAAAATTAAAATAATATACGTAATTATATATTAATTTTTTCTATAAGAGAGAATATATCCTAAGCAAGAATATATCCTTCGATCTTGAAGTTCGACTACGTAGGTTGTTAGATAACGTTTATGTGTTCTCATTAATCATTAATACAAATGACGTGACTAACTAAGAAAACAGATTTAATTTTTAGTGAACCTTTTAAGAAATTCTCAACATAAAGAAGTTGGAAACTTATTCCAATCTTCGATAAGACGTACACTCCTATCATCCTATGCAAATCATTGCACGTGAGAAAGAATCGTTCAGCTGGCTTTTCTGTTCACGCTGAAAGAAAAAAGATCATGATCCTTACGGAAATCGAGGTGCAGGTACAAGAATGACCTGCTCGAGCTTGATTCTATTCGCGTGTAACTCGGGGATCCGTGTTTGTCGTCGGAACAAAGGAGAAAATTGCATGGATATAAGATAAGGAATTTCTTCTACATTCTTCAGCCGCTGGTACCTGAACTCTGCTTATTTTTCACACAATGCACTTTTATGCATGTGCAATTTGCGATAAAAAAAAAGATATCAACTTGATAAAATTATGTGTAGAATAATAGAAAATTTTACACACACACACACACACACACACACACACACACACACACACACACACACACACAATTAGGCAAAATATGCCGCGCGATTAAAGAGAAATACTTTAAAATATATAGCGTATTTTAAAAATCAATCGTTTACTTCCTTATTAAATTAAAACTTTTAATTTATATCAGCTGTAATTTTTATCCATTATATAAGATTAGAAAATTATACCCACCTGTTATCGTATTTCTTGATCACTCTATGCTTCTGGTCTATCGATCTTCATCACGCAAGACCGAACAGTGATTACTGGTTCTTGTAAACGTTTATAATTGAACATTTTGCATTAACACATATTAAGTCTCACAGCGAAAATAAAGAAAATTACGTTAATCTTGCGATTAACCCGGCGAGGGTGTAGATCAAGGCATGATGGTCGATCGTCGAATGACGCACCGACGACGACGACTACACGTCACAGATGCATCGCGACGTCTGACGTTCCCGCGTTTGTCGGCGTCGCGGTGCCGTCATGACGACCATGTACAATAAAGTTCGCGTATGCGCCTTCGAAATGTGTTAAAACGCTTGCGCGGCTGAAAATATACTAAACGTATACAGATTTTACAGAGAAAGAAATTTATATGTGCAATTAAAGACGAAATAGATTATAACTTTTAAGTAAAAAAAAAAAAACAGAATAAAAAGACTGATTTTTTATTAGAATTTTTCTTTACTTTAAGATCTTAATAAAAAGATATAGAATTTATTTGTCTTGTTATTCATTATTGAAACGTATAATATTTACACACTATTTCGGCATTATTTAATGCTTTTTGTTTTTATGAATTTATAAATATCTAGGCGGAAAAATTTGCGTTGTTGTGTTTAATTAGTTTTGATAACGCCTTTTCGAAATTGAATCCATAGCACCGCGCTACTTACAATTTATAATACAATTTTTAATACAATTACAAAAAATGTAATATAATAATCGTTGTATTACATTTTAATGGTTTACGGCTATTTTTATACAGAAATCTTTTAGATGAAATGAAAAATTTTACGAAAACTGATTTCTGGAATAATAATATAACGCCAAATATAAAAAAATACATATCTAAGTAAAGAACTTTCAGAATCGAGCAAAAACTGGTTCTTGCTTAAAAAAGTTTCCAGTTTTTTAAATAATTTTTATCTTTATACGTAATATAAACATAGTTACAAGAAAAATAACAGAAAATTTTAACACGTAACATCATGCCTCTCTAATAAAACTTATCACTATAGTTAAATAAAGTTTTCCATTTATTCCATTAACGTAACAAAAATATCGTACATTTAATATTGCACTTATGTTTTTTCTATGAGGATATATATCATGTTATATTTTCATATAATATATCTTTAGATTCACTACAATATTTCTCTATAGACATATATAACGAAAATTGTTTTATCTCCAAATATTAAAAAAATGTTATGTGTATATATATATATATATAA